GACATTAACTGAGACTTTTAATTTGAAGGCATTTCCGGGTCATGCGTGTCTTCCGGTATGGTGGTTTCTGTCGCGCTACTAAGCAAGTGGCTAATTTCTTTTAGGTTGTCACGGTTTCTCCACCGTCTGTCGCGTGGCATTAAACGATACATATCCGCTCAGAGTTTGGCATTAATGGTGGAGTTTCTCTGAGTGAGTCAGCCAGACTTAGACTTTGCTGAGGGAGAGTCCTCCCTTTGACTCGTAGTGCGTGGCCACTGGCTAGCTTAGCAAAGAGGGTGGGGATATAAACTTCAAGACCTCGCCCCAGTCGTAGCTCGACTCCAGCGACTGGCAGCTTAGTCTCTTTGCGGCGCGAGAGACCCACTCCTCGCTAAATTAGCTAATCATTCAAGGGGCGACTGGCACGGAGGTGTCATTTAAGGGTTGAAATTTAGCAACAATGTTTAGGAAGAACCTGAAAAAGGACCCCGAGCTGTTCCAGAACGTGTCGGATGGGCTGCGGCGGCTTTACCGAACCAAACTGTTCCCGCTGGAGGACACGTATCGATTCCACGACTTCCACTCCCCCGCGCTCGAAGATGCCGACTTCGACAACAAGCCCATGGTACTCCTGGTGGGCCAGTACTCCACCGGTAAGACCACCTTCATCCGGCACCTCATAGAGCAGGACTTCCCCGGTATGCGGATCGGCCCCGAGCCGACCACAGACTCTTTCATCGCCGTGATGCACGGCGACCAGGAGGGCGTGATACCGGGTAATGCCCTGGTCGTCGACCCAAAGAAGCCTTTCCGCAAACTCAACGCCTTCGGAAACGCGTTTCTCAACAGGTAACGTCAGCAACAAGTTTTCAAACTTCTGTTTAAAGCAAACCAAATGCAGCAAAACGCCATAACTGTACAAAATTAGCTTTCACAACCCCAATGCCATTCATTCACGCGAGTGTCAAGCTCCACTTGGACATTAATTAGAGCAGATGCGTGGGAAGAATTAACCCATAATAATACACCATATGTGATTTAAGTCATACAAGTACTGACATGAACCACACCTTTTTTTTAAAGGCTGTTGTGCAACATTTGCGTCAAAGCCAAGTGTGTGAATTTCCCTACTTTCTTTCTTTCGTTTTGAAGATGTCAGATGTCATCATACAGGTGGTAAATGCACCCTGTGTTCAGTAGGGCTGTGTATTGGCAAGAATTTGGCGATACGATACATATCATGACAGAGGGGTCACGATACGATATACCCCGATATATTGCGATTTTTTTTTGTCCAAAAATTCTATTAAATAAAAATCTCTTACAGGGAAAAAAAATGAAAAATCAAAATTCATTGTCTCAGAAAATTCTAATATTACATAGACATACTTTTGATACATTTAGCTGTGTTCTGCTTTGTATGTATTTTATTTTATTTGTTTCATATTTCTTATTTCATCCATGTTTTCAATTATTGGACTAAATTTGACAATAGATAGTTTGAAAATATATTTTTTGCAGCTTTTAGTTTTTAATATTAATTTACAATACGGTCACCCAACACTTAACAATGGTCTCTACCTCAAGAAGTAGAGGAGCCAAATGGCTGGCTCACTGCTGCCAACTAGTGGTCAGAGGCTGAACTACAACATAAACATGAACAGCTGGCAGGAAAGTTGACATTTTAAACCTTAATAAAAAAATCGATACAGTATTGGGAAATGAAATATCGCGATATTTCAGTGTATCGATATTTTCTTACACCACTAGTGTTCAGCAAAAAAAGAGGCTTTCTATTATGTTATCTAATTAAGTCGAAGCTATTTTAATTTCACTTTAGAGGAAAAGCAGTTGATATAACACTAAATACTGTATTTTCAGACAACTCTGAAAGAACCATTCTACAGATGAGGGGTTCCCAAATGTCCAAACTCAAAAGAAGTCTTATCTGGACCCAAATCAGTGGTTATGGTGAAGTTTGAGCAGAATGTGTTTGTATAAACGGCACAAATAGTATGGAAGTTTGTGTTTGGGAGATTTCTTTTTCTTTCTTTTTTGAACAATGCTTCTTGGCAATTTTTTTAATTTAATTTGAAAGCCTGTTAATTTTCCTTGTAAATGTTGCCATATTTGCAAGGAACATGAAAAAATAGCCAAAACATCTCTGCCAAACAGCTTAATTTGCTGTTGCTATTGATACTTGCTTTGAGCTTCTGGTACCCCCAATAATCAACCAACACAAATCTCCTTACATTTTGTGCTAACTAAGTACATATACTTAAACATGGTTACCTGTATTTGCAGTAATTGTATATCAGGTGGCACAGCTTTTCCCCCACACTAGAGGTAATTAATTTTAAGTAGGGCAGCTTTTCTATATTTTACTATCATTCTAGGTGGCAAAGCTTTTCTAGCAGAGAGAAGTTGCCAACCTTCAGAAAGGTACAGGCCCTGAAAACAGTGTGTTTAGAGAAGAAAGCTAGCATGGCTGTCACTGCGCTTATTCTGTTTGAATAAATACATTTGGGACACTTGCTAGGGAAAGCATTCTTTCTGCAGACCTCACAGAGTTCAAATTAAAGACCAGCTGCTATAGATGCGTTTTTTTTTTTTGTCCTCGTGTCACAGTATGGCAGCGTGAACATATGCTACAATGCTTGGGAACATTCTGACCTTGTGTCAGTGCTGTAAGTTTCATGTCCTGCCTGTAAGTATTTCCACATCAGCTTCAAGCCAACTCCTTTTTTAACCTATGAAGTTGTATAACAAAAGGGTTAAATGGTTTTATTGTCCCTCCCTACACTGCGGTTGTGTGATATATTTGCATCAGTAAAACGATTAAGTAAGCAGGTGTTTCAGTATCATTGTTACAACATTTTAACTCATTGGCCTTTGTTTAGTGAGCTCTGGATTATAGAGTGTTTAAAACATCTTTGGCATTTCCTAAAGTGTCTTTAAAAAGGATATTCTGTCTGACAATTCAGCTTAGTCATTCCAAATATTCTGATGAGTCACGAGTTTTCCACGTGGGGCTAAAAAAACCCAATGCAATTTAAAGGATAATCTGTGAAGAAAAAGAATAATTGAACATTAAATAAATAATTAACACAGTTGTGTGCTTTAAAATGACGATCAAAAGGACCAAGAACACTTAAAGATCCTAGTTTCCCATTGACTTTTATGAACCAAACTCCTCCCCTTTCCTAGTCAAGAGTGCAAGGTGCTGTGAGTCAGAGCCTGAATGACAATGCTTAATGAAAGCTTAAACACTTGAATCCTGCCGCACCGTGTGTGAATTCATAGTGACATCAGAGCGTGCGAGTCCTGATCCAGTGACTTCCTGAGGATGTGGGGATGTCCCGTTCTCAGTGAGCGATAACACGGTGTCACCCCGCAGAGCCAGCCGAACAGATGGACAAATAATGCCCAAACAAATGGCTAATGCACGGACAGCGATCCTAATCTGCTGCCGGTGTCCAAATATTCAAGTTTGTTTAGTTGTCCTCTGCTGTAATGGGAAAAACCCTCAAGTAGAGACTTGCTCAATCTACTGATACGTTTTGGCATTCCTTCCTACCATTCTTGTAGAGTGTCACCCTTATCTTCCACGAGAGCAAACTCATTCCAAGTACCATCATTCAGAGTAAAAAATGAGGTCATGCTTTTCCACATAGCTCTTTAAAGGAGTAGGTGGTGTTTGACTTCACAGACCATAACTCTCTTCTCAGAGTTTATTAAATACTTCAGAGGAAACCAGATAAGGCTGTGTATAAATAAACAGGCTATTGTTCATTGTTGCATAATTTGTCAAACTGTTGGAAGGAGTCCTTTGCGTCATGGAGCTTGTGACTGCATAAATTCACTTTGCATCGTTGTCTATGAGGGTTTGACTGGTCAGACGTTGGCTTAAAGAATACATCGCTAATCTTTAAGTCAATGTTTGACCACATAGCCAGTAACTGGTCTAGAGTATTTATTTAAATGTCAAATGCATTACTCCAAAAAATATTTGGATTGGGTTAATTGACCACATTTTTTCTCCTATTAACCAGAAGTTTCTACAAGTCTAGTTGATTCTGTGCCATACGTTGGAGCAGGCACGAGATAAAGAGACAGAATAAATGCACCTCTTCTGTGCGACTCTTAACTATAGTTATTGAACTTGTCCATTAGCCCTTAACTACCAGGCTCAGGTGGGATTTTGCCCTGAGTGTAACCAGTTATTTATGAAGATTGTAAACAGAAATTAGTCGTGGGATCCTCACACTTTGAGCTCACTTTTAGTTTTGGCAATCTAAAGTTACACAAGGCATTTATTCACATTATTAGTGTTGTGTAGAGATCATTTTGTACCAGGTGTTTTGACTGAAGCATTTCAATTCCTCTTTGCAGCTTCTGTCAAATGCATATTTATTTAGTTCTTCTTGTTTTTGTTTAATTTCCATACCACTGCAGTTTGAGGGCCTCTGTGTATTTCTGCACTCTCTGAGAGCCATTAGTCAGTAAAACTGGAGTCAGCAAAGCTCAAGTTCCGCTCTGACCCACCCGGCCCACACTGTCCTGTTCCGTTCTGTCCTGTTGTTCCAGGATGCTGACTCTGCACTTTACTGAGGTAGACACTCGTTTAGCCTTACAGGGCAAACACAAAAATACACGAATGCACCAGCACGTGTTGGGGAAGTTGGTAATTTAGTCACAAACCAATACGTTACAGAAAAAGGTGTGGGAATAGTGACTCGGTTCCTGTTCGCGTGGTCAGTAGTGTAGAGGTTACGATGTGAAGGAAGGCTGAAGGTCAAGCAGTGGAGCAGAACAACTACTAATACTGCTCTATCATCTGAGGTGAAATGTCCTCAGAAAAAACATGTCTCTTATTTCTAAGACCTACTCTCAGTAAACTCTATCTCTCTATCTCTCGAGTTTTTCGACCTGTGCTCCTTCAATAAGCTTTGTTTTTGAGAATTCCAGCTCAAAATGTTCTGAATGTTTTGCCTTGCGAAGCTCCGTGTGGAAAAATGTTTGGACAGAGCTGAATGGAAAATCTGAACCAAAGATCCAGCTGAACGTCAAATATTATCAAATATGAGAGGGGAGGGGGAAAATGAGTTTTCTTTGTTGGTTAGTGTTATTGTAATATAGCACGAACCATAGAAAGTTGATCTGAAAAGCAATTTTCTCTTTTCCTTTTTGACTCGGTCTGTGTAGATTTTTTTATTCCCCCCCTTGCACGTGGTATAATACCTCTGTTGGGGTCTGTGGACAGTCTGTGTGTGTGTGTGTGGTTGCAGCAGGAATGTGAAATCATGGTTTCCCCGGTCTTATGACCTGGTGCCTCTGCATTCATGCTGGGAGTACCGTTTCAGTTTGGCTGAAGGGGCAGCAGAGCGAGAAGTAAAACTGTGGGATGTCTTTACAAACTCCCTCTTTGTCGTGAGTTGGACTTTCTGGATTTGTGTAAAACAAGTCGTCCCCCTCACACTTTGTAGTGTCTGTGTTATTCTGGGTGTGTCTTAGAGAGTCAGGGTTTGTAACTCATTTCTGAGACCCTGTTGTGTTGTAAATAATGTTGCTCAGGGAATGACTCGGGTCTTTAAATTTTAAAGCTTGTAGTTTGTTGTCCCAACATTTTTCTGTGTGATGACTCAAACATCAGCGGCGGGGGGGGGGGTCTTCTTCAAACAAAGCCTCTGTGCTGTTCAGAGAATCAGCATCATCATATTGTCTCGCTTTGCTGTGGGAAATAACATCCAAACAGTATTTAAAGTGTCAAATAGACTCAAACAATTAATTAGTTCAGCTTGATTGATGATTGTGCGTCAGATAAACACAAAACCTAAACAGTAAACCACAGAACAATTGCCTGCATAGTTATGAGCTTTTACCTGTATACAGGTGTGCCTTGATCACTTGAGTTATAATTTCTACATGGAAAAAGTCCAGTTCTATAAGTGTATGTAGTCCGTTTAAAAATTAAATTAGCTATAAATGAAACAGTTGCAGCCTTTTTTTTTTAATTTTTTTTACCAGGGTAGATTTTGGTCTTATTGAAGCAGAATCCTAAAAAAATAAACGTGTTGACACAAATCAAGCTGCACCTCAAGCCCCACAGCAACCCCACGGGTGGACCATAAATTTACATTCAATTGAAAACTCACGTCAGGCCTTGGATGACTGTCAAAGCAGTTCAGTGTCGCGATCAGTTAATGCTGTTTTTATTTTTAAATGTGAAAACGCCGCATTTATTGGTTCTGCTGTTTCTGTTGAGTGATTTACTTCTTTTCCATGAAAGTCACAGACAGATCTGTTTGTTCCCATCATCTCTGTTATTGAGATAATTGTGGTGATGAACCTAACTGAAAGTAACCACTGGTTTTACATCAAATGAGCCTGGCGTTGGTATACATGTTACTTTTTGGTTAAAAAAAAAAGATAAATGAACAGTAACTCAGGAGGTGTTGAAAATGGGGACTATTTCTTCCTCTCCTACACTAGTTTTCTGCTATAGTGTTTGTTTGTGAAACAGTAGTAACTGAAATGCTTCAGAGTGGTGATAAAGGCCAGGCTTAGGGATAAACAATCTCACTCAACTGGTTTTCTGTTCCCTCTCCTTCACTTTTCCACTCTTATCCTTCATCTCTCTCTCTTTGTGTCGTGCCCTCACTTGTTTTCTTTTGCACTCTTCTGTGTCTTATTTCTTTGTATCTCCTCTTCCTCAGGTTTATGTGTGCTCAGTTGGCCAACCCTGTCCTGGAGAGCATCAGTATCATTGATACTCCTGGAATCCTGTCAGGGGAAAAACAGAGGATAAGCAGAGGTCAGCTTCTCACACACACACACACACACACACACACACACACACACACACACACACACACANCACACACACACACACACACACACACACACACACACACACACACACACACACACAATGTCATTAAACAGCTTTTTTCATGCACTCGCCATCGACACTTGTTGGCTCTACTACACCCTCTAATCTTAAAAACTTGAAATGGTTTGTCTTTAGAAGAGACACCAAATAAACCCACAGGAAGTCACAAGTTTAAATATAAAAAGCAAACCTGCTCTAAACGGCCTACATGCTCTTTCTTTTCCCAGAGTCGTTCTCTGGTATTCTCTTTGGCAGGTTCTCTGGAGACGACAGCAGCATAGTGCCGTCAAACCTGTATTTAACACTCTCACTCCCTCAAGGCAAAGCCTTGCTGAACAGCTGAATGTAAATGTGAAGGAGATCTGAGCAGGAAAACCGAATGCAGCACCTCGTATGTCATTTCCTGTCAATGCAGATGTAGTTTTCAACAGCTCAGTGCGACCTTTTCCCTTTGACTCCAAGAGAAACGTCATTTTTTTCATTTTTAGTTTATCTTCTTGAGTTATTTCCTTTGTGCTCTGTGGAATTTTTTTTCTCCACTTGCTGCAACAATATGACCTTCAGGGTCATTTTAGTATTGCTACACACACTTTTCAAGCTTTTGATGATCTTACAGAACATAGGAAGAAGATAAAATGCAGCTTCTGCTTTTTTTTTTTTTCCTGATTTGAGCTGTTTTAAGAGGAAATGCATGTACAGGCAGCAGGGTTTTGTGTTCTCTGGTGAAAGGAAGTAGAGTAAATGGCGAACAGAGTTTTCCAAAACGGACCCCTCCCTCCTCCAATGACTGTATTCCACTGAGATCTCTTCATCAATCTGCTTTAAATTGAATCTAATTTCCCATAAGACACAGCAAGAGCCAAGAGGGAAACAACACGAAGCACTGATTAGGAAATTTGAGATTTTCTTGCAGACATAACTTTTATTTTGCTGTTATGTCTCTTGAATAAAGGTTACAATAACATTTAATTAAAAATGATTAATATATATATAGTATTTTTAGTTATAATGGTACAGCTAGTTGACAGTGTTTGCATACCAGTGTTTAGTTAAAGCCGTCCGCATCCCTCAGTTTTGTTTCCCCTCTATACGTTCCTCTACATTCTTACAAAGGCTCATTCTCCCATTTTTCAGCAAACACTCGTCATCCTGTACTTTGTTTCTGTATAAACACAGATGCAGTACTGTACTCCAAAGAATTACTGTACAGACTGTGTCGTATATAAACAGTACCGCTCAGATTGTGCGGCTCAAGTGTGACGGGCACATGCATGTCTGGGCAGATATTGGTTAAACTGCAGGAAACGACAGCATTGCATCAGAATTTTCCTCATGGCTAATCAGCTGAGAGGGGCTGTGTGGGACTTATCAAACACTCAAACCTTTTTATTTTTTAAAGATGCTCTAAAACACCCAGAGATTGTGAACTAGTGAAGTCAGTTTACTGGCTCGTATTGCATAAGCCTACGGCTGTGTTCGTTTTTGATTAGAGCAGCATTTACAGCTCAGTATTTGTTCCCGACGAAACTAAAAGATGTATTGAAACTGTCATTTTTGCAGAACTATTTGCTGACTTTTCCTGTTTTTAATTGTGGAGGAGTTGACTGTGTGAACAGTGACACACACACATCATTCAGCTAAATATTAAAAGTAAAAGTTCCTTGAAGCCAACTTGAAGTTTTCGGCACAAACCGTTTCTTAAAGTGTTTCTTGTTGGCAGACTTTAAACCGAGCTGACGTTTTACTGGTTGTTAGATTTGTTTTTGAAGGTTTAAAAGTGCTGGCAGGTGGATTTGGTTTCATCTGAACACAATCTGCCCTCATCTCAAGGCCTTTCTGTAAACTAAACTTTTTTTTTCTTTTAAGCAAACATCGTAATGAAAGCAAAACTGAAAGCAAGTTTCCCATAACCTAAGTAATGATTTGAGTGTTAGCTTCTCTTTAAACCCTTCTTCTCTTTCTTTTCTTCTCTTTGATTTTCATCTCTGTCTATATTTATCATGACTTCATAGCTGTATGTCTTGGTGTCCATGTGGTCCATGTGGTGCTCACAGAGCAGTTGTTGATGCTATAAGTAAGTCTGGACTCCAGCAGCTGTCTGTATCTGATGCCCTGTTGTGCGTTTTAAAAACAGGCTTTAGAGTGAGAGAATAAATGTCTTCCCTTTGCTCCAGCTGAGTTTTTACCCTCACTTATACAAACTTGTTTTTCATACTGTCACTTATGTCCATGTCTATATATAGTTTTCTTTTTACTTTCACTTTTACCCCCTCTCTGATTCCTTTTACATCTGTCCTTTTTTCCCCGATGCTCTGAAGTAACGGAGTCTGTCTGCCTTTTTGTTGTTTGGGAATTTTTAGGGACAAAACCCCGGCCATGTTGGAACGTATCAGCAGCAGCTGAGGCTTTTTTTTAATACCAGCTGCATTTTTTTCTGATCAGATGATTCTCCAGCTCTAATCAAAGCCACAACTCTGTTCTCTCCCTGCAAACTGAACACCAGCGACTCTGACAGAACCTGTTCTCGTGTTTTGATTTAGTGTGTTGTTTTAAAAATATGAAGTGGGAACTGAACAGAAAGGAGAACAGAAATGTAGAGTTTATCACTTTTTAATGTCATTGACCTCTGTAGAGTTTTAATCTTACCAGCTCAAAAGTATATTTATATTTAATTACGGGCAAGGTTTTTTTTTTTTTAATTTAAGCTCATATCAGGACTTTCTGTGAATGTATTGTCTCAGACTGAGCAGGAGGCCTTCGTTTGGAACAATCTTTGCTTTTATAGTCTCCTTTCTGTTGTGTCAGTCCACCTGGTTAAACAATAACCAGAAGTGGAAAAAAAAGACTTTTCTAAACATTACTTGTTCATCAAGCCTGAGTTATGAAAACAGAATTCAGAGTTGAACCTCTCTCGTGTATTTGTAGCACTGACCTCTTTGTCAAGTTATTGATCCCTGTCGGCACTTTACAGTTTAAAATAGTTTTTATTATTGTTGTGAAGCAGGTCTGTACACAAATTACCGACACTAACAGTGTTTCCTTACTTAAACACTTGAGGTTTCCCTGACCGTGAACCGATCTAATAATAATGAAACGGCGCCCTCACAGACCCTCCTCCCGTCTGCAGGTTATGACTTTGCCGCCGTGCTGGAGTGGTTCGCTGAGCGCGTGGACCGCATCATCCTCCTGTTCGACGCGCACAAGCTGGACATCTCCGACGAGTTCTCCGAGGTGATCCGCGCGCTGAAGAACCACGAAGACAAGATGCGCGTGGTGCTGAACAAAGCGGACCAGATCAGCACCCAGCAGCTGATGAGGGTCTACGGAGCGCTGATGTGGTCTTTGGGAAAAATCATCAACACCCCTGAGGTACACGTCTGTTCTTTTCCACGTTTTGAACAGTACTATTCAAAATATTAGCATCTGTAGCTAACAAGGATTAGCTTTTTGCTAAACTTTGAACAGTCTGTTAATGTGTCAAAGAATCGTCTCTGGGCAGGTCAGAACAGAAGTTTTTTATTTTATTTTTATTTTTCTTTCCAAGGACAACAGAAATCCTATCAGTGTTCTGAGGCTTGCTGTAACCAAAGATATAAAACAAACACTTTAAGGTTTAAATGTAATGAAAGTGGAAAAACTTATATTATCCTTTCAAATCCCATGTCCTGTCATGTGACCCGGTCTTATGAGGTTTTTTTTTTTTTTTACTGCTCGGTTAATGTTTGATTCAGAGACGCATTCATCAGCTGAAACCTTTGGATCATGTAGATCATTATTCATTGACTTTGATACAGAATTGCATAGTGGACATTTTAAACAGGAAGCAAAGCACAAAATTCTGAACCTTTTTAGCTTCACAGTTTGGAAATACATTGTCTGACATCCTATTTGCCGTTTTTGTAGGGATGAGCAGTATAATTGTTTTAACAAGCAGACTGCAGTGTCAGGTTTCCTCCTGTGTGAGTGCTGAGCAGATAAGTCAACCCGCTGGAGACTAACCTGTGCAAACTCGATTCCAGGTGGTGCGCGTGTACATCGGCTCGTTCTGGGCCCAGCCCCTGTTGGTTCCCGACAACAGGAAGTTGTTTGAGGCGGAGGAGCAGGACTTGTTCCTGGACATTCAGTCTCTGCCACGCAACGCCGCTCTGCGCAAACTCAATGACCTCATCAAGCGAGCACGCCTCGCCAAGGTTAGTCTTCACACGGCCCCGGGGCCTCAACCGTGCAGCCGAGATTCATATCAGTGGGGATTAGAGTCGAAAATCAAGTCTGGAAAAATGTCCGGCATTTACAGGTGATGATGTCAGAGCACGAAGACGTTTTCTGCTGTTAACATGTTTTGCTGTCAGCTTCATCAGATCTGTTAGATTAATGATTCAGAAGGTGGTGGATTTAATGCAAAGTTTCATCCAAATTATTATATTTTTCAATTAAATTGAAGTTCATAAAGTAAGCTGATGGAAAATATCTGTACTGTTCAGCTACCAAACCCAGAAAGTGCAACTACAAGCAAAACAAAAATACAAAGTTTTGAAGGTGATGGATTTAAAATCAGTAACTTTTTGACGTCAAGCAAGAAATTAATTTTTTTTATTTTCAAAATTTTTACAACATGACTCTTAGGACTCAGAACATTAATTTATCTTTTGCTGCTTTCATGTATGTTTTTTTTATTGGCTTGTTTAAAAACAAAAAAACATTACAGTTGTCTCTTTAAAGTGCCGGTGACGTGCATATTCTTCAAATAGAAAAAGTCATTAATAATATGAAGTCATGAATAACACACACGATTGAACACATTTTGTCACATAACTGGAATGTTTTCTTTTGAACTTAGCTCAGCCAAAGTGAAACAGGAAGTGACATCAAAGGGGAACTCTAACAGAGAAAACTCTCTGGTCTTTGTTTATTGAAACAATATTATTTGAACTCTGACTCTCCATCTCTCCGATAGTCACTCAAAATAATCTTAAACATCAGATTCTTCTCTACAGTCTGTGTTGTTGGCTGTTGTAGCAACGCTCTGTTCACATGCAGACATTCCCCTTTGACATCACTTCCTGTTACTTCACAGGCAAGTATCTCAACAACTCTTCATCTCAGCGACATGAAATTTCTTTTACAATATTTTATCAATGTCCTCTTTCTAAAAATGCTTTTCATATGTATTACAAAGGTTTGACATCACAGGCACTTTAATTGCACCCTGTAGAAACTCTGATCACTGAAGTGTTTCTTGTGTCGTGGACCTCCAGGTGCAGGCCTACATTATCAGCTCTCTGAAAAAGGAAATGCCCGCTGTGTTTGGAAAGGACTCCAAAAAGAAGGAGCTGATAGCCAGTCTGGGCGATATCTACCACAAAATAGAGAAGGAGCACCAGATCTCACCTGGAGACTTTCCCAACCTCGCCAAGATGCAGGTAAAATTAAAAACCTGGTTACAGCTGGACGTGGCGGTTCAGACAGGAAGTTACAGATGAAGTTGTTGTTTTTGTGTGCCGGTGTAGGAACAAACCTGTACTAGTGTAATGACCTTCCAACCTTTAGTCTTCACATCTTCGCCCTTGTTTCCTGCTCTTGCCCTCCAGGATGGGCCAGAACGGGAATGAGATTTATTTTCCCTGGTTTGTCAGGAAATCCTGCTTCTTGTATTTTGCTCCCGTCGGTAGCCATTGACGACTGATCTATTTCTATCTCTAATTCCTGTTTTCTCTCCCCGCCACTTCAGGAGCTGCTGAACAACCAGGACTTCACCAAATTTGCGGCGCTGAAACCCAAGCTGCTGGAAGCGGTGGAGGACATGCTCGCCAACGACATCGCCCGCCTCATGGCGATGGTGCGTCAGGAAGAGGCCGCCATGCCGAGCCAGACCGTGAAGGGCGGAGCCTTCGAGGGAACCATGAGCGGCCCCTTCGGCCACGGCTACGGCGAGGGGGCCAGCGAAGGCATCGACGAGCTAGAGTGGGTGGTGGGCCGCGACAAGCCCACGTACGATGAGATCTTTTACACCCTCTCCCCCATCAACGGCAAGGTGTCCGGAGCGGCGGCCAAGAAGGAGATGCTGAAGTCCAAACTGCCCAACACAGTCCTGGGCAAAATCTGGAAGCTGGCAGACGTGGACAAAGACGGCTTCCTCGACGACGACGAGTTCGCCCTGGCCAACCATTTGATCAAGGTGAAGCTGGAGGGCCACGAGCTGCCGGCCGCTCTGCCCGAACACCTGGTGCCCCCTTCAAAACGCGGGACAGTTCAGCAAGACTGAAGGTCCCGAGAGGAAGAGGAGGGCCAGCCTGGAGATCGGTCAGCACTCACGTTAAGGACTCTCAGTGCCAAAAGTTCAAGCAGGAACCGCATCCGCCTTCAAACTGTGAGTCCCCACAGGCTTCCCCGACACACCAGGACAAAGTGCTGTGATCTGTTTACCAGAGAGAGACTGGAGGGGTTCTGGGAGGGCATTCATTAGGGGGTTCAGGTATATAAGAAAACACAGGGCAGGGTGTTAGTTTTATAAATGATAAAAACAAGGGAGATGGATTATAGACTGATGGATTATAGACTGGATTATAGACTGATGGATTATAGAGTGATGGGGCTGAACATGAATTTATGCATTCTGTATAAATGTCTTCTACAGTCCATAATAAGTTGATCCAAAGATATAGTTTTGTTTTTTCTTTTGGAGAGAGTGAAAGAGGAAATAAAATAAAACAGCTGTTAAAATTGTTTTATCTATATTTTTGTATTTCCTGACTGTTAATTTTCTCTTTCCAAACACCTCCCATTTTTTTATTTTGTCAACTTAAAAAAACGGAGTGTGATTTGTACTTACATGGACTTGTAATGAATCTTCCACTGACGCACAATGATTGTTGACGCGTCATCAGAAAGCCTTGTTGAAAAACTGTCCTCTTTAAAAGCAAGAAAACGTATAAAAAAATTTCTAAAATAAATATTTGCTGAATGAATGTGAACGGAGTCTCGTGCTTTTATTCTGTAGCCTCTCGTCTTTGTGGGTCACTCCAAGGTCAGTTTCAGTATGTGCTCTGTAGGTCAGACTGCTGCAGAACCAATCAGGTCAGTTTGCACCTAACATTTATCACAAGTGAATATTTTCAAATTAAAAGCAGCAGTGAAACAGATGCTTGACATTCTCTGCAGTCTGAGCACATGTGGAGATGATTTGCAAGAAAGTCGTCAAAGTTCAGAACAGACCAGGAAGCCATCCCGTATTAAAGTCTATTTTTATTTTACTTTTAATTTAAACTGGTTTGTATGAGTTCGATGGGATGTCAGAAAAAAACAAAATGCTCATTCATAGAAGGTGGCAGTATTTGGTGATTTTACTGTTGTAATAGTGGCAAGTACTACATAAATACATCAGTGACAAGTTTAAATACTTACACACAGCTTCAGTTTCGTCTCGTGAACATGGTGGAAACACCCTGAATCACAGCTGAGTGTGTTGATTCACCGCCTGAAACAAGACGTCATGTTCTTCTGTCTCACCAGCTCCATCGGCCTGCAGAGACACAAATAAAATCCTCCAACCTGACTCAACTGTCCCCACATTTTATAAGGCCAGAGGCGCCCTCTAGTGTCAATAGATGTTATAACAGGTTATTACAGTGGAAGTTCTGTTGCTTTTTATTTTTTATTTTTTGTATACAGTTGCTGCCTTGAATGATAATGTTCTGTAGGATATTGTTCTCATTGAGTTTAATTTGTTCTTCAGGAGGTTATCTAATAAAAACACTCAAATATATACTGTATATATAAATTAGGTACATTTTTTTTTACGTTTCTCTGCTGTTAAAATAGTCAACATGCATTTATGTTTAGTAGTTAATGCTTCAAGTTTATTTAATGATTATTAAGGGATGACGTGGTATTTATGTTTTTGTTTTTCTGGTCCAAACATGTATTTTAACGCTCCAGTCCTCCTGCGCAGGTGTGTCACCTCGCTGACAGGAAGCTGCTGGAATGGTCACACAGATGTGAAAATAACAGCATGTACACCATGTGTTTGTGTTGCTGTCAGGCCTGCTTCCTTTTTCCTGTTTCCCTCTTCATCTGTGTTCCTCAGTCCTTTCTCTTCTCCTGTTTCTGGAGAGCAGCTCCTCCCTGTTCTGTTGTTTTAGCCCCAGGCTCTTTGTTTTTCGTCTAGTTTGTGTCTGCAGCAGTGAAAGAATCTCTGTCGGTCTGACACACTGAACCCAGCACACAGTTGACTGGGTCAGCCTTATGTAATGGCATCATGAGGTGGGAGCGTCACTTCTCAGAGGCGGGTGAGGAATGAAGCACCTGTGTGTGTCAGAACAAATCACCCGCTGCCTAATATAGGACGTCGTTAGTAATGCTAAAAAAAAAAAAAAAGAACCTGAAGAGGTTAATTAAGAAAAGGTTGTCTATTTTTGTGTCTTTAGAAGTGTTAAATAGTTTTGCTGCAGTAAAACAGACCACATTTTCTGACCCTGCTGCTGTCTTTACTCGCTCTGCGCTCCAAGTTTCTATCATTAATTTGTGCTTTTTTTAAATTTGGTCTTTATTCCCATAAAAAACTGGACCAGCCATTCTGTGTCAGCTGATGGAAAAAAAAAAGCTCACACACACATGGGCAAAATTGTTAGTACCCCTCGTTTAATGGAAGAAAAACCCACAATGGTCACAGAAATAACTTCTACAATCTTTAAAAATTCTTTAAAAATTAACAAATGAAGAAATTGCTTTGCAACCATGCTTCAGAGTTATTTATTTATTTTTTAAATAAAACTCATGAAACAGACCTGGACAGAAATGATGGTACCCCTGAAAATAATGTCGTAGGGTCATGTTAAATCAAGGTGTGTCCACTAATTAGTATCACAGGTGTTTACAGTCTTGTAATCAGTCAGTGGGCCTGTATATAGGGCTACAGGTACTCACTGTGCTGTTTGGTGACATGGTGTGGACCACACTCAACATGGACCAGAGGAAGTGAAGGAAAGGCTTGTCTCAGGAGATCAGCAAGAAAATTATAGACTAGCATGTTAAAGGTAAAGGTTATAAGACCAGCTCCAAGCAGCTTGATGTTCCTGTGACTACAGCTGCACATATTTAGAAATTTAAGATCCATGCAGAGAGACTGATAATACAAGTGGTAACCAAAGAGCCCAGAAAAACTTTTAAAGAACTTAAAGGTGAACTTCAAGCTCAAGTAACATCAGGGTCAGATCACACCATCCATCACTATTTGAGCCAAACTGGACTTAATGGGAGACGACCAAAGAGAATTCTAAATCATAATAAGCCAGACTGGATGTTGACAAGACACAAAGCTTCTGGGACAATGTCCTATGGACAGATGGGACAAAATGGAACTTTTTGCAAGGCACAGATGGAAAACTGAAGCATATGAAGAAAAGAACACTGTCCCTACTGTGAAACATGGAGGAGGCTGCTTTGCTGCATCTGACACAGGGGGTTTTAATCTGTGCAGGGTACAATGAAATCTATAGCGAGACGTGTTGCCCAGTGTCAGAAAGCTAGGTCTCAGTTGCAGGTCATAGGTGCTGCAACAGGATAATGACCAAAAAACACCCAAGAATGGCTCAGAGGAAGACATTGGACTACTCTGAAGTGGTCTTCCATGAGCCCTGACCTAAATTCCATTGAGCATCTTTGTAAGGGGCTGAAACAAGTCTGGAAAAGGCAACCTTCAAACCTGCGACATGAAGAGCGGACAAAAATGCACCTGCTGAGAGGTGCAAAAGTCTCACTGACAGTTACAGGAATCGTTAGATTGCAGTGATAGATTCAAAAGTTTTGTGCAAGAAAATATTAAGTAAAGGGTACCATCATTTCTGTCCAGGTCTGTTTCATAAGTTTTATTTATTTTTTAAATTCTGCTGAAGCGTGTCTGAAAAGCAATGTCTGACTTTCTTTTGTTAATTTTTATAGATTATTTATTTATTTATTTATTATTACTTTTGTCAGAATATAGTTATTTCTGAGACCACTGTGGGTTTTTCTGTCATCAGATGAGGGGCACCAACAGTTTTGTCCATGTGCAGGTAGTGTTCTGCTTCTTTTAGCTTTAAGCTGGTGTTTTGCTTCTTTTGTGTTTAATAACTAATTTTCAGCTCCCACTTCTAATGTCAGCAGTTATTTAACTCTCAGATTTCAAGCTGATTTATTTTTCAGAAAATATTATTTCTTTTATTCTGTTGCATATTTTTTCTAACCCCCCCCCCCACAAACCTTTTAATTGGGTTGTAAAAACACAGCTGTAGTTTGACTTGATGAAGTTTATAGTGAGCTAACTTTGAGGAAATCTGTAAACAATATAAAGCAGTACGTAAAGTTAACACCTGTGTCAGCATGAGAGCAGAAATAAACCCGACACACGGTTCATGGTTCAAAATAAGAATTTATTTTTGTTACTTTGGACACAGAAACACAGAGCAGCAGAAATGGACCTTGATGTTTGATGATGAGTCTGTGGGACAAGTTCACATTCTTGGGGGGCAAAGATGAAGACGAGGAGGCGAGTGCTAAGAAGAAAACAAACTGAAAAAGGCAGCTGCTTTTTACCTGGTTTGTTGGAGCCACCTGATGGTTTAACAACTCTGATGTTACAGACATTCACATTTTTAACATTTTTAACCTGAAAACAGACAAAACATCACATTAAATAACTTTGTTTTATAGAGTCTGCATGAAGCAAAGTGAAACAGCTAAAAAAACGTCAAATAGTTCAACGCTCAGTTAAAAAAAAAAGCATTCAAATAACTGTCCACATTGAGTTCAGGTCAAGTTTCTTCTGAAATGAAAGTCAAACAGACGTCTCTTCTTGTCTGGATGTGTGAGCTGAAGGGTTGAGGCTTGATGAGGTAGGCAGTCTCATTTGGCTCAGTTTTTTTTTCCACCTCCCCCAGCCTCATCAACACGGCCCGGCTGCCAGCTGAGAGGCTCCGAACACCTCCTGCGAGGCGTAGGTGATGTACAAGAAGCCATCAGTGTCTCTGAAGCGAGAATAGATGTCCCCCATGCTGGAGGACATGCAGGACATGCTCCTCTCTGCCACCAGCAGGAACAGGGTCTGGGATGGGTCCAGTGCAATTTTGGTCCTGAGGGGAAAAGAAGAGAGGCAGATTGGAGGTGGGAGAAAACGAGGAGGAGGAGGAGGAAGGTCTGATGGGCCTACCTGAGCAGACAGAGGAACTGACCCAAAGTGAGCTCAAAGGGAACCAGAAACTTGGTTTTGTCCAGCAGAGGGAGAGTCCTTTCACGCATGTAACGTTCGACGATCACCTGAACACAACAAAACATGTCATAAACTGATCAATTTTTAAAAATTAAATCTATAAAAATAAAATTAAATATGTTAAAAACATACAGGTAACTTGTTGGGAAATTTAGACCGAATGCTGCACACCTCATCTTTTCTTGTTGCTAAACAAAAACAGGGGAAATAAAAAAAATTGTATTTATATAAATTTGAATCATTATTTTCAAAAAATGAATTAGATTTTTAAAAAACTGTGAGTGCAAGAATAAAATAGTTAAAAGGGCAAGTACAGAAAGCCCAATCTTTAAGCAGCATTTAGTTGCTTTCATAAATAACATTAGTGCTTTGATGCAAAAAAAATCTGTTTACTTTAACGATATAAAATAAGCTAAAATCTTAAAATTCAATAATATTTTTGAGAGTATAATCAGATGGTCTCACCAAGACATTTCCTCTGCTTGAAGGGCATCATCTCCATGGATTTCTCAAAAGGAGCCATAGTTTTAGCTTTTTAACTCAGATTGTGATGGAGGCGGTGAAGGCTGGAGGGGCTGACAGCTGAAGACCCCTGCCTCAGATGGAAGTAAGCGAACCCCACAGAAAGCTCAGACCTCTGGGGTCGTTTTATAGGTGCACAGCTGGGAGGAGTCGCTCCTCGTGGGCAGAGACCCTGAAGCCATCTCATCAGAGTCACACGCCTCTGCCGCCGAGCATTTTTCACGCCCACCTGCGACATCTGTGCTGCTGACACGACACGCGCAGATAATGAGTGTAATTAAGACGACTCAAGCAGAGAAGAGGCTCCCGAGGACCCAAACGCTCCAAAGATCTTAGTCTGAAAACCTTCTGTCAACAACCTGACCTTTGACCTCTCTGTCTAACAGCCCTACAGGCCACATGTCATCTGATGCTTTTAGCAATCATTAGAGACTCTTTGATGCTGCTGACAGCAAGTATTGTGTTACTTTTTCATGAAATAGTTTTTTTTTTCCTGAATGAGCTTCCACCTATTAAATTTACAATAAAATGTCACTTCAATCAAGCATGTAATCAGTAGTTTTATTGACTCTAAAACTAGACAATCATTTAAAGATGTGATTATTTGAGCAGTTTTAGGTGTTCAGTTGCAGGTAAAGAGCGCCCTCTGCTGGTGGAAAATGGCACCTTGAAGCTCCACACTGACTGCAAAATCTATTCACTTGATAAATATTTATTTTGTTGTGTACTTGGGAGTGATAGGAGTGCAGAAAAGTTGAATTCAGTCTCTTCCGGTGCTGCAAAGATATCTTCATATTCACACGTTCAGTTTTCTCTATTTTCTATTGCATTTTCTGAACTATTACATCACAGAATTTGTGACGGAACTGCCAAATAAGGCATGGACTTACAGACTACAATGTAGTCGTTTACTTTCCCCTCTGGGTTAGACTCGGGCTCCAGAATGTACATATAATTATTTAGTAAAACAGAAAAAGTAAAGTCTCTGCGCTGCTACATAGATGTAAACCTCTGTCTCAAGCTATGGATCACTCTAGAAGCTGGAGGGGATGGGGTGTGAAGTTGGATTTAAAGAAACAGCCTCAAAACGAGCTGCTTTTTGAGACATATATTTCATGCATGTATAACAGTTGCACTCTTGTTTAATAAACAAGAAGAGTACAAACTGTTTGAAAAATTAAAACGCTCTTACTTTAGAGAGCTGAAGTGAAAGTGCATACTTTTTTATTTAAATTTATTTCTTGCTCTTATAATGCACTCAAAGCAACACATTTTCTTTTAAGTTAAAAGAGTTTTTGGTGCGAGGCTGAGCATCATTGTTGGGCTGGACTGAAGTCGTTCGACTCGCGGGCCTTCAGTTGTCCATCCCTGATTTAGTACCTTCATTATGAATCCAGATAATAACACAAAGACAACAGTGTTACAGTCACATTATGTAAATCACCACTAAATCTTTACCTATCAGTGCATCAGAAAGCTTTAGTAAATGCTTAGGAGTGAAGAATTTCACATTTTTAAGAAGAACTTCAGTATTCAGTAAATGAAAGGGACATTATTTCTGGAGAAATGGTAAAACAGCATTAGTGTGTAGGAAGTTGCTAAAAAAATGTGAAGATTCTGCAAAGAACTGTCAAAAAATAGGCCTACTGGTATAATTTTAGGGTTCCTCTGCGGAAAAATTTGAATATTCCGCTGTCAGCTGCTGATATAAAAAAAAAATAACAAAAATTCCTTCCTGTAAAAATAAAACGGAACATTTTCGTTCCCAAAAAACTAACGCTGGACCAGATAATACTGTGAAAAATGTGTTGTCCAATCACCATGCAAGTTCTGAACAGAGGCCCCGCCCACTAGCTTCCAAAGCTCCGCCCCCCACGCCGCCTGCTCCCACATGTGTCTCATTCTGCTCATTGTCTCATTAGGGACGCAGCACAGAGTGCAGCTAACGGGAGGCTCCGACAGAATGATGGAGTTATTAAGAGGAGAAGCGGAGCATGTCGGGAAATGACGCCTTGGTTGAGAAGAACCGTGACTTCATGAGTTTTTTTTTTTTCGGTTTTCCGGTGGGTTTATTCATCCGGAGGCAGCGGTCAGCGGGGCTGCCTGAAGCTGCAGCCTGCATGGCACCGTCATCTTCCCCCGCGTTCATTTAACATGCTAACATCTCAGGTCCGGACGTGTGCGGCTCTGCCCGCAGCTGCTCACTAGCCCCGATCAGCCTCACCCTCACCCCGCAGCTCGGTAACCGAACCGCCGAGTGGCACCGAGGATGGCCGCCCGCCGCGGCTGCGTGAACTCGCTCTGGTCCGGCACCGAGCGCGTCCGCATCGGGGAGCGCCTCAAAGCCACGCTGGCCGGGGTGCTGGAGCTGGAGGTTCTCCGGCGGAGGCACCTGGAGATGGTGGGAACGGCTCTGGTGGACCGAGCCGACACGGAGGAAGAGGAAGAGGAGGAGGAGGAGGGCAGCGGGAGACGCACCTCCTCGGACGCGGAGCGCGGCTCTGCGACATCCCGCCGGCAACAGGTCAGTCAGTGCTGCTTGACATGACGAGGCTGTTAAACATGAATGGTGATCCGCCAACACGTCGTCCCTCTGAGGCTCAGTTGGCAGCTCTATCCGGAGCTCAGATGGTTCAGATGCTGCCAGAGGCCATCAGGCACCATCACATGGAGCACATGTCATTTAGACCAGGAGAACCGGACCAGCTTCATGCCTGAAGGCTATTCATCTGCCTGTGGCTCTAAATTGAGACCCCCCCACACACCAGAACCAGAACCCAGACTCTGCTGCTTTCCCCCATTAAACTGATCCTCTCTAAAGGTCACTTCAGCACTTTGTGGTAAGATGAGGCTCCAGCTCTGAGCAGTGACCTTTGGGTGTGTTTAAACACAAAAACCAGGTCCTGACTGGATATTTCATGGTGCTGAGAATGAGGAGAAAGTGGGCCAGTATGTGACCCGCTCCAGTCCTGGCTGAGACCCAGGTACTGAGGGTGTAAAGATAGAAGTGACTGCATTTCTGTTACTGTCCTGTACTTGTCACGTGTTGTCAAACTGAAGGCCTGCGGGCCACACGTGACCCCTGTAGCAGTTTTCTCCTCCTGTAAGGTTATATTTGAAATGCCTTAGAATGTGTGACAGAATCTCCAGGTTTTTATTTAAGAAAAATAAAAACTAATAAATATTAGTTAAGTGTTATTACTTTGAAGATAAAGACAGAATAACTGAGACCAGGCAAAGATGTCTGTTTTTATTGAAAGGTTTTTTTTTTACATGATTTAGTGGAAAGTGTTTGATGCTAATGAGTTCTGCCTTTAAACAATAATTGTTTTAAATTTTGTCTTTAGAACAGCATTATTGAACTACATGATTAACAGGACATATAAAAATATTTTAAATTAACATTGACCAAATTTGGCCCTTTTAAATCAAATTTTTTCATTTTGACCCCCCTGTGTGAATGAGGGTATTTTACCGCGGTTTTATATTACTGCTGGTTGCTTGAAACAAATTTTAATCCAAATCTTATTTAAAAAAATAAACAATAGAATGCGTAGTTGTAAATATTAGCTTTAGGAAACAATTTTATTTTCTAATTTTATCACATTTTTAATACATTTAGAACTTTTTTTTAAAGAAAACAAGACTTTTAGAACAAATCTTAATATTAAATATGAAATTGAGTGATTTCTCTTCCTGTGGATCGTACAAGAAGCATGGAGGTCATCTCTTTCCTGAACTCTTAAAAGGATTACAGAGATCTATCAGGTCAGGTCAGAAGATGTTTTTAAGCAAAAATGCAGTGGTGGGCACAGCTAACCATAAAGTTAGCTTTGTTAACGCTAAACGACTTAACGTGTAAAAAAAATTAGAGGACGCTAACACTTAACATCTAAACAAGTAAAAGATTAGTGTAAGTAACAGCTAAACAATTAAAAATGAACAGAAGCTAACTCTAAACAGCTAAACAAGTAAGAATTAGTGAAGCTAACACTAACAGCTAACCACTTAGACCAGTGGTTCCCAAACTTTTTATCTTCTGACCCACAAAACATCCATGGCAAAAACTTGTGACCCCAAATATCATTGGTCTGAGTACACGAACTTTGTTAATAACCCTAAAAACACAGGCTTTTTGACAATCTAAACAGCTTGTACACAAATATAAATACTTATTTATAC